CTAAAATTGCACTCTATTTACTCTATCTTAATTCTACTTATCCAAAAAAATTTAGATTTAAGTGTCTCTCTCAAAGTCTTCAACTTAAGCAAAAAAATAAAGACTTAAGGTTGATCCTTAGTATAATCCCATAGTAATTAGAAATTCACTTGTCTTTCCAGCCAGTGATCTACTAGTAGTCAACACACCTTCATACATGTCTCTAATCACATCAATGTAGTCTTTTGTCATCATTTTCTTCTCTAACACCCATTTGATTATATCCTGAGACACTTCATCTTATGTTTTCTCAAGACCGACAAAAACCATATGAATGTTTTTTTTCTTCTCTCTATATTTTTCTATTACTTTCCTCAAAACATAGATCGCTTCCATTGTTGACCTATCGAGCATAAATCCAAATTAATTCTCTGACACCACTGTTATATCTCGCAATCAACGTTCCATCATTCTCTCCTACACATTCATTATATGATATATCAGCTTGATTCCTTTATAATTGTTGCAATTCTTGACATCTCATTTATTCTTATAAATTGAAATTAAAATACTCTTTCTCTACTCCTCTAGCATTTTCTTAGTCAATAAAATGTTGCTAATTAACCAAGTCAACTAAACAACCCTCTTCTTATCCAAACATTTTCAAGCTTCAATAGGGATTTCATCGAGTCTTAAACCCTTATTCGATTTCATATTCTTAAGTGCAATCTCCACTTCAAAGTTCTTAATCTTGCAATAGAACTTGTAATCTTAGTTTTCATTATTACTGTCTATTTCTTCCTCTTTTGACCTTCCATCATATTTCTCATTTAACTTCTCAAAATAGCTCTTCCACCTCTCATTAATCTTTTCATCCTTCACCAATACCTTAGAATCCTCACTCTTGATGCATTTAATCTGATTAAAATCTCTTTTTTTCTTCATTCTTATCTTGTCATGTGTAAACATGTCAAACTTAAACACCTTTCTAAGTTAATTAACTTTTTAAATTAAACTTGAATATATTTTTTAAGTAAAGGTGATTAGGCATTAATAGCCATGTGATCAGAAATAGATGGTTTATTTTCAAAATCTATGGCATCCATTTTTTAAAAGTAAATGTAATCTGGTTATATAATTATTAATTTCCGATCAACTTAATTTTTTATATAAATATTCTACTTAATAAGCCTTTTAAAATAAACCAAGATGACCATGCCCAACAATACCTTCCCAATTAAATGCCCAATTGGATAGAATCCATTCCTTTTACTTCAACTTTTATTTCAAACCGTTGGATTACGACAGTAAAACCATAACAGGGTATCCTCAAATGAGCCATTAAATGCCACCTAGTGAATGATATCCTCAAATGAGCTTACAAAAGTCACAGAACGCAGGCTTGTGAAAAAACTAGATCTTCACAAACGGAGAGGACAGCTGATGTATTATTTTGATTGCAAAGATTGCAAAGAAACATGTTTACATTTTCTTCCCTTCCAAATAACTACTTCTTTTTATTTTAACACATTAATAAATAAACAAACAAGAACTAAGTAAGAGTTATAACTTGGAGGAAACACCAGGATCAGATAATGCAAGCCTGATCAATTCTTTTCTCAACACCTTGCCAGGAGCATTTTTAGGTATTGAATCAATGAATAATACTCTCCTTATTTTCTTGTATGGAGCCACCTACAACAGATTTATTTAAAATGTAAGTCTCATAGAAAAAATAAAAATAAAAAATGGTGGTTAAATGGAGGCTAGTTACTATTTGTTGTCCTAGATAATCATGTTGGTGTTGATCTTAAACTATTCACGGTCGTTCACATATAAAAAAAAGACTTGAGATTTCACCTTATTGAGGATGCAAATTCATATTTTTCAATGTAGATGGCCCTGAATAGTTAAGACAAAAACTAAATATTTAGGTTCACTACATGTTCTACCTGTCTGGCAATAAAATCCTTGATCTGTGATTCATCGATAGTGCTCTCAGGTTGTCTTACAACAAAGGCCATGGGTACTTGACCTGCTTCCTCATCTGGGTACCTGCAAATTTCATCACCGATTATATCAATAACCCAACCATTAAGCATAATTTGTAGCAATATAAAAGGATTGGGTCTATCTTCAGTCCATCCAATGGAATGGTCCGGTTTGGTTATGTAAGCCTGCCGCAGAACATATTTTAAATATCAGTTCCACTAATATTTTAAGTCCATATAGGTAGATCATTTATAAAAAAAGTCAAATTAATCTAATAATCATTACCACATGATTTGTACTAATATACTAATATTTTAAGCAGTAACACAACAAACTAAGTAGAGAATAAACTCACGGAACCACGGCAGCATCAACAATATGTGGATGGGTTTGAAGTAGATTTTCCAGCACCACTGGAGCAACCTATTTGTACATGCAAATACACGGCTCACACAAACAGACACAATGTGAATATTCAAAGGAAGAAAAATATGTGGCGGATGCTAACCAAGATTGAATAGTACTTATTGCTTTACCAATACTTGCAAAAATAAAAATAGTAATAAGATTTGTATTGCATTATTGCATACATAACCTGATAGCCTTTGTATTTGATTAACTCCTTTAGACGGTCCACCACCTATAAGAATCCTTCGTTGTCAAAATAACAGATGTCCCCAGTTCTTAACCATCCCTCTGAACCCATAATCGCTGCAGTTGCTTCTTTGTCATTAACGTAGCCTTAAACAAAAATCACAAACAACCTATGAGAAACTCGTTTGTAAAATCTGCATCTTACATTTTGTTTTCTGACACTTTTGTAAGTACTTGTGTGGGTGCTGTTATTTGTACCCACAAAACTTTCAAGTTCACTCACATTCTAAACACATTCACTTCCTAAATTAAAAATTTTGTGGTGGAAATTGTGCCTAAAAGGGTAAAAATGAGATCACCTTTCATTATGTATGGGCCTTGAACCCGGTCTCAACGTCTACAATTTTGGCTTGGCAATATGGCATCAGACGGCCGGATGACCCTAAAATTTGAGTCCGGATCCTCTCCAGCCAAAAGTCTCTCCTGTCCTCCGGTCAAGGGCCACGATTTGGCCACGTGGCCCTTTGAAGATCTACGGCTCAGATAAAAAAAAAAGAATTTCGTTTCTCTGAAATGGAAGAAGAACGGATGATGCATTTTTTTTTTCTTTTTTCCTGCTTTTTTCTGATGCAGATATTTTGGAAGAAGAAAAAGAAGAAAAGTCAAGATGATGAAAATTTGTAGATCCGGATTTGCAGAGGAATTTTTTTTTTGTTGTTGATGAAGATGATGATGATGTTGAAGATGATGAAGATTTGATGCGTTTTTTCTGCAGATGATCTTGATGATCTTCAATGGATAGATGATGAAGGTGTTGAAGATGATGTTAAAGATGTTCAGATTGTTTTTAGATGATCTGAATATATATGCAGATTTCTGAAAAACAATGGATAGATGATCTTCAAGAATATATATTGATGATCTTCAAAGATTTTTGAACACAGAAATCTGCATCAAAACTAAAAAAAAATTCTGCAGATTTTTCGGCAGATATTGATGATCTTCAAGAAAAAAAATTTATGCAGATTTGAAATCTGATTTTTTTTATAGATTTACTCACAGATCTGTATTGAAAATATCAATTTAAAAAAAAACGGAACTGAAATGTTGAGGGGAATAATCAATTAAGTTTGAAGAAGTTTGAAGATGATATTGATGTTCAAATTTTGAAGTTTGAACTTTGAAGATGATGTTCAAATTTTATCAATTAAGATTGATGTTCAAATCTGATCTTGAAGATTTTTTTTAGCGTTTGATAAAATTTGAACATCTTTAGATGATCTGAATAATCAATTAAGTTTGAAGATGATATTGATGATGTTCAGATTTTTTTTTAGATGATTTGAAGAAGAAGTTTTTGGTGAAAAACGAAATTCCTTTTTTTTTTTTTTTTAATCTGAGCCGTAGATCTTCAAAGGGCCACGTGGCCAAATCGTGGCCCTTGACCGGAGGACCGGAGGGATCCTTTGGCTGGAGAGGATCCGGACTCCTAAAATTTGGCTTTCAATTGGACCCATCGTTCACGATACTCCGCCAGTTGATTCTGTCAGACCATATGACTAGATGCATAGTGAATCATGAATATCATTAGCAGCCCATCAAAATCCGTGGAAAACATGTCATTTTTCATGATTTGATGAAAATGTTAAAAATAAAAACCAAGGAGAAATTCATGTAAGTGAGAAATGGAACATAAATCTCCCGTGTAACGGGATTGTATGTATTATTTATTTCTTTTCAAATATGAGCTATTAAAGAAGAGTAGAAATCAATTAAATTAAGAAAACAATTATATGTGATGAAAATGAAATGAGAATAATTGTTGACTAATAACATTAGTATTAGAGTTAATTCGCGTAATCCAATCCACCCATCTTGATACTAGTCGACAGGTTGACATATCTTCTTTATTTTGAAGCTTGGATTCTCTGGCGTTGAGTCAAGTTGGCCCTTGCTTGGGCTTAGTAGACGGATTTGGTAATCCTAATGTTTATTTTTAAAATTTATTATTCATGCAAAACAATTAAAATAATTAAATAATTATATGTTTGAATTATATTTTCATTACAAAAATTAAGTAACTATTTTTAAAATTATAATTATTATCTATAACTACATATCAATTATTTTAATTTTTTATATAAATATTTTATTTTCAATAAATGACTTAAATCACTTGAGTTTGACTTCAAAATAAGCCCACTAAGCTCATAGATTTCTCAAGATGGATGCCTAACTCCAACTGACTAATTTATGTACATAAAATCCACACACAAAATAAGACACAACGCTGAGGCTCACATAAAAGGGTCCTGTCTCATTTTATGCTTATGTGTTACTGACATTATTCAACTCCAAACCCTTATTATTATTATTATTATTATTATATATTTGTTGCACTCCAGTATCAACTGCCAGGGATACTAACGACTAACCTGCGCTACTAGCACCCCCCGGGAAACCTCTTCTTAAACCTCTCAATCACGGCGTTCGGCAGCGGAGCTCCACTGCACGCCACCAACTCCAGCGAGCTCAAATCGTGGCCGCCGTCCATCAAATCACCCTTTCTCACCATCGCAACAATAACAGATGGGGCCAAGGCCACTTGTGTGACCCTAAACTTATCAATCGCTCTGATCATCATCCCTACATCAAACCTCCCAATACACACCAAACTCTCCCCCATGGCCACCGCCCTCAAACACAACAGAAATCCGTACACGTGGAAGTACGGAACCGCACAGAAACTAACCGCTGGCGAAAATCTCACCGGACGAGAAGCTTGCGATCCGGCCAACGACGATATGAAGTTCCGGTGACTCAGTTCCACGCCTTTGGATTTGCCGGTAGTTCCCGAGGAGTAGAGAATCGCCGCCTTATCGGACTGAGAAACGCTAATTCGGTGAAATTTTCGAGTTCGATTCGTCATCATGGACTCGAACTACGGCGAATCGAGAATAATCGTACGGTGGAGAAGTGAGAGGAGATTGTGAGCGGTGTCGGAGATAGTGAAGGCGATAACCGGTTTCGAGAGGTCTATTTGGCGAGAAATTTCGGATTTGGAGCTAGTCGGATTGGAAGCAGAGACGGTATCGCCGAGAGAGAACAGAGAGAGGTAGAGAATCGGGATTTGAACTGAGTTCGGGGAGAGAACAAAGGCGGAGTGGCCATTGGAGAGTCCGATTTGGTGGTGAAGAGAGGCGGCTAGGGTTTTGGTACGGGTTACGACATCGGGATAGGGAATGCGGCGGCGGGTGGCGGCGTCGATGAGTGCAGCGGTGGTTTCCGGTGAGGAGGGAGAGTTTTGGAGGAGGAGAGAGAAGACGAAGTCGGTGATGGAAAGAGAGGTAGTTTCGGGAGGGAGGAGACAGTGGGGTCTGATGCTGTCGTAGGTTTTGGTGTCTGAGCAGAAACCACTGTTCGGATCAATGGAAGAAGAAGATGGATTAGGATTTAGGGATGCGGATTGGATGCGCCATTTTTTGGGGCTGTGTGTATATTGTTGGGATTTTGAATTTTGATAAAACTATAATGTTTAAGGACTCTAAAGGCCTCCTTTGCAACACGCGGCTTTCTTAAAAAGTTAAAAAATTATTAAAAATATTGAAAAGTTAATAATTTATATTAAAAGGTTAAATATTTTTTTTTATTATTTTATAAAAAATTAAAAAATCATTTTAAACATGTTAATTTTTATTAATTCATATTTTAATTAAATAGTTAAAAAATTATTAAACTAACATATTTCAAAACGAGGCTTAAGAGTTTAAGGACTCTTGTCTAATATTATATTAATAAGTAAAAAAAACAATCAACTTATAAGTAAAAAAGTCAACTTATATTACATCAAAAAAATCAACTCATATTATGTCAAAAACTACTCTAAGAGTTGAAGGACTCTTAGGACTTGTTTGGTAACGTTTACGTTTTTAATTTATATTTATAAAAATTTTATAAATTGGTTTTTGTTTATTTTTAGAAAAACATAAACTACAAACGCGTTTGGTTTAGGCAAAATATTTAAAAAAATTTAAAAATATAAAAAAGAGTGAGAAATAACAAGTGGTGGCGGCGGCAAAAGACGGTGGTGGAAAATGATGGCGGTTGGTGGTGGCAGAAGACGGTGGTGGAAAATGGTAGCGAATGGGTGGTGGTGGTGGTGGTGGCAGCGGCAGCGGGGGGGGGGGTGGTGGTGGCAGAAGACGGTGGTAGAAAATTGTGGCGGGGGGGGGGTGATGGTTGGGGGGAAAAAAAAAAAAAAATCAAAACTCAAAAAGGAAAAAAAATTTTTTTGTTTTTTTTTTTTTTAAATTTTTTCAACACACTACTAGCAACAACCATCACTCATACAGTGATACCAAAACCAACACAAAGCATAACATTTCTATAATAATAGTTAATAGAAACCATAACAGTACTGACAACACATAAGGCATAAGAAATTCATAGTTTTGCAATTTTATTCCACCTCCCTTTTACTTAACCAATTTAATAATACACACCTGGCTCAGCACCTGGCCAAACAATTAAATGAGATAATAACTCATATAAAATATTTTTCACTTCACAAATGATAAGCATACTAGCTATATCAATCTTTCAACAGATACACATTTTGGTGCTGTATCATCGGAGTCCATCCCCTATCTTCTCCCAATCAATATACATACATAATGTATAAAAAAAAAATCCAATCATTTCACAATGATCACTCAATACACAAATTTGCTGTATTATTATAACCATCATTTTCAATGACACAACCGGATGATTAGTTTCAGTTTTTCTTAATCAACACACGAAGTCTACAACAAGCGAGACTCACCTCAAGGTGACCGATGTCAACCCAAAACCCGATACCAGCAAGCTGACTAATCAACTCAATAAACTCTACACTCAGTAATCCACACACTGATGTGCCACTAACCCCACACGCGGAGTTCCCCACACAAACCCCCAAATTTTGGAATCTCAACGGATCTCCTAAAATCGAACCACATCAACACTGAGCCTAAGGGAATCACTATTTGCCCCTCCCATTGCTACCTAGCAAGCTTGCTCATCTCCTCGACTCAAGACCGACATGGTCAACCTCAATCACGAAGGACAATTTCACCAACGCTAATCTCGCCACCCTAGAACACAACCTGTTCTTCCTCTTAAGAATGCTGGCAGCATCCACTCACAACCATACCCAACATTGATAACCAATCTCAACACGAACACTACCCCTATACAACCGAT